CGTCCGGTGACCAGTCGTTTTTGGCACAAAGTTCAAGAGCAGGAACAGACAAACGGTAAGCACGCAAACAAAGTTGTCCCTGCCGCGTTTTTACAGGATCTGAAAAATCTCTGATAAACACACGACATGAATTCTGTGGAAAGGAACTAACAGCACTCTCTTATCATTCCTATTTTCTTACTGTTCAGCCTTATTTTCAGATTTTCGGCATCAAAACAAACAATAAGAAGGAAGAAAATAAAAGCAGAGATAGCAAAAGCTAAGTACGGCAATTACTACACCGACATTCTTTTGGTCGCCGTTGGTACGTAAGAACACCAGTAATTGACCAAAATATTACCGTAAATGATAACTACGCCATCGGGTCCATTGCTCTGATAGTCGAACATCGAATCCACAAGATCCTGAGAGAAACATGCGCCGAATGGATGCGCTTGATAGAATCCTACCAATTCGTAGTCAATATTCATATTTCTAAGAAAAAAATATCATTTTCTTTAGGCATTTCAAAAAGAAAGCAGCGTGGCATGATACGTACCTGAATTTCCTCAACATGTCCAACATTTCTTGCTGTTTAAGTTCCTCGTACATCTGATTAGCCTGAATAAAACCGTCACTGAGGGAAATAACACTGCACCAAAACAGTATATAATTGGAAAAAGGATACTGAACCTGAGCTGCGTTTTCATCGCTTCTAAACAGGCTCAGCACGAGTCACCGGTCTAGGGATAGACAGTTAGTGATCTCTAGGCGACTGTCATCTTTCTCCACAGATACAAGCCCTGTCAAGAGACCTTGGCAAGCTTCACCAGCTACCTGAATTCGACGCGACTTAGTACCCCTTCGCAGCCAATATATCTAGCTTAATCTAAGACAATAAAAAATCCCAACCTCACTCATTCCAGCATAAAGCTCGCTATCCACGTGTTTGACGATTTTCATAATAACAAGTGAGTCCATCTGTATGTATGACACATTTGGAGGCGTTATCGTAGTTATGGTCGCCGCCATGGTGGACTCTGAAATGTCATTTCGTGCGCCATAAAAGCCAACCATAAGGGTCGCGGTTACTTTAAGATTGTCTTTAAATTCGAGTATGGTAAGATGCGCATTGATCGTGCGACCGCATGGTCGACGTGTCGACTCTACACTCGAACCAAAGAACGAAATGCAAGGCAATCGCAAAGCATGACCGCGGACTAAGCAAAGCTAACTAAAGAGCACCTGCAAGGAGCAAAAACGAAAAAATCCAAAAGAAGAGCTTATTACGAAAGAGGTGCCATTACAACCAACTCAAAACGAAAACGACACGTGTTAGTTGTATCGGCAAGTGCGACATTTACATTAGACAGGCCTAACGTCTCAACACTATCGTCGTCTTCTGAGGCCGAAATGTGACTCAACGTTGGATTTACTATCTAGTCCCACCAACTATCAGGAGACGACGGGGTCTATTCCAGTTAGCAGTGGCACTATGATGCAGTCTTTCCAGAACGCGGCAACTCCGACGCTGGGGGAGTGGAGCCAGTGTAGGGGGGTGCGGCCAGAGTCAACCCTGCGTTGCGCAGTTCGCAACGGCACGTCGAGAGATCCTCAACGCACGCTGTATGGGCGGAGACACAGACGGCTCGAGCATGCGAGTGTGAATGTTCGCGCGAGAGAACGTGTCTAATCGGGCGAAACTGCGCAACGTGGCCGTTGAGAACTGCGCAACGCAGGGTTGACTCTGGTTGGGGGGGGTGGGGGCAGCCAATTGCGGGAAAAGGTGGAAAATTCGGGTTCATACTAGTTCATAATGCCCCCCCCCCCCCCCCCTAACTGGGATAGATCCAACGACGGTACTGAACTTAAGACCAATCTAGCAGATCCTCTACCTAGCTCACCACAGCACGTTACAAAAGAGCGCCTGGGTGCTAACTTAGTTGGGGGGGGGGCACGCGGCGGCGCGGCAGTCTGCTCGCCTGGCATGTTCGGAAATCCGTGGGCCAGGGGGAGTGTAGCCAGTCTAGGGGGGTGGGGGGTGGGGGCAGTCACTTGACATGCGTGAAAAGCTGGAATGTTCGAGTTTACACTGTCTCGTAGAGAGAGCCCAGGTGAGCAGAAACGCGCGCGCCGTCCGCGCGTGGCCCCCCAACTTAAGTTCCCGCACTGCGGAGCCTACAACACCAGACCATGCAAGTTTACCACAAGAGAGAGGTTGGAGAAATTGATTGAAAAACAGGGTCTCATCCGGTAAGAGGGGGCATTGCGGTGCACGGTCTGCTCTAATGCCAATTTGGCTCAAGGAGTCCTTTAAAGTTACGAGCTGCTATCAGCTTTTTTCCTATGTTATTTCTTCAGGTGTTTTGTGTAATGTATGTATTCTTGTACTAGATGACATTAACGTCTACGAGAAGTGAAATTCACCTAGTTAGCAGGTCAGGACTAAGCCCAGGAGGGGGGAGGAAGTCCCCCGGGGAAAGCCAAGATTGCTCACGGATCCGGGGACTCCTTCCCTTCTAGGGCTTAGTCCTGAACGTCTACAATAAAATAATGTGCTTTCCATGGTTTGAAATGCTCTAGATCGCTATGCCCCTTACTGGATGATGACCCGAAAAACACTACTGTTTTATCATAAAGAGCAGATGTATCTGGCAAGGCTCAAGTCCAAAAGTAGACATGTACATCGTTACAGCAATAAATTACGCAAGTAAAAAGATCCTCTGATACACCATAAAAAGTTTAGCTGGAGAACCGAAAACTATAAAGGTAGATGACGAAATATGAGTGGTATATGGGGATTTACAGAACGCCGCTGCAACCGTAACCCGTTAATATCTGTGTCATCAATGCTAAACTGGCGCATTTTCTGTAATGTTTGGACCGCTTGCCAATCTTGACGTGTACTTGAAGAGCTAGAATATTCCCCTGATTTCACGGTCTCATTTAATTCTTGGGCGGGCTACCATTCGGATCTTGAGGCTATCGATTTGTACCTTTATCTGGCACATTTGTTTGTTGATAAGTGAGGTCTAGTTTTCCTTGTAATTGAACTAAACTGACTGCTTTTTGGAGTCACCCCCGTTAACCGACTCAAGTCCGAATAGGGACAGGGAAACTTCAATATAGTTTGATATGGTAGTTGTATGAGGATCCGTATTTTCAAAAGAAGGTTCCTCATGTTTTTATGTTTCACTGTTCAATAAGGCTTATACTTGAACTTAGTGCTTTGCGTTCGAAGTTTTTTTTGTAGTTACTTGTATTTGTTGATTTACTTTTGTTGGATACTTTTTTGTTTTCGGTGTTTTCTTTTTGATCTTGTATTTTCACATTTTAGTGATACTTTTGGTTTCAGAGTGAAGGCAGCTAACCTCACCTATCAGACAATGTTCGAAGAATTACCGATAGTTATAAAGAGCAGTCATCTTGTCAATGTTATGATGGCTGAGTTGTCGTTAGCTCCGACTAGAATTGCTGATAGGTTTTCAACACATCTCGAACTGGGATCTCGGAGGTAGGCCACAGCAATTTTTTTCCTGTTTTTTCTAGGAGCTTACTTGTTAATGAACAGCATGACCAGCATAGAGCGAAGACAATAAGCTTGGAGTTATTTGACCCCTACATGCGTTCTCCAAGTTCGCAACCTCCCCCTCCTTTCTTCATATTAAGAAGGCAGGGTTGCGCACGTTTGCGAGGTGGTTTGGTGGGATGCTACAGAACATTTTATTAGCTAGTAACGAAAATGCTCAGTTTTCAAGATTAGAAAGCTTGGAAGCTAGTACTCAAGTCTTTCCTACTTCATACTTTAATCTTATCAAATGCTATGCCCCTCTGCTGTGAATGTGCACTCTGAGTACAATCTTAATCGCAATTCACACTTCTTTAGTGGTAGCATTTTCTGTGATGATAGTGCTATAAGGAATCATCAAACGATTGTGGCCCTTTTGTGAGAAAATTGGTACATTTATGTTTTTATTTTGGGCCGTGTGTAGTGGCGGCACCTTGCTACAGCACTGTCCGGGATCACATTTTGAAACCGATCTCGGCCAAAACAACTACTTTTCCTCTTGGTCGGTCAGCTGGTACTAGACTTGTCTGGGAGGAATAAAAACACTGACTTGTACATCGGCTGGCCCCGCAACGTCATTGTATAGGCCAATTCGCTTTCAAAAGTTACTGCGATTATGCGTGGCTCATTTCAAGAGTTTCTCCAAAAGCTTTATCTTTTTTCTAGATCGTTGGAGAAGAGCGTAAGAGCAATGATGGCTAACATAGATGAGCTCAACAAGTCAATATCGGCATATGGGAAGTACGTAAACGACAAGCAAAAGCATGATAATATGATCTACAACCTAACTCAGAAGCGGGTGAGTTACATTTGATTTTCACCAGATTTTTTGCATAACACCTTGAAAGTTGAATAACTGGAGACGAGAAGAATTCAGAGGGAAATAGCGAAATTTTCTCAAAAAAAAACGCTA